TCTGGTTTTATCCCCTTCCCCCTTCAAACCTAGGTTAAAGCCCTCTCAATGAGCCCTGCCAATTCATGAGCAATGATCCTTTTCCACTGTGAGACAGCTGGACTCCGTCTGTTGCCAGCAGGCCCGGTGCCGTGTAAACCTCCCCATTATCAAAAAAGCCAAAATTCCTCCGATGGCACCAGCCCCTGAGCCACGTGTTGATCAGGTGTGTTTTCCTGTTCCGAGAGCCAGCCTGTGAGTGGGATTCCTTGTACGTTAAAATGCTGTGTGGCAGGAACGAGAAAGACATTGGCCCTAACTTGAAATTTCCTTTGTTCGCTCTGTAAACTGTGAGGATAATACTGAAATGATGTTAAGATCTGGGGATGAAAGATGCTAAGGCTCAGATATACCACACTTAGCTGAGGGGCTTAGATGTGGAGTGATACATCTCAGGCGCTATATATTCAGGACAGACCAATAAGTACCTGCAAAGACTGGCCTGTATTTTAGGGAGAAGGATTATGTCCTTTTAAAAGTACCACATGTTGGCCATGAATTTACTGAGCTTTAATACTCAGCCTCAAAAATCACATAATGGTATTTATCGGTAATGGGAGTAAATAACTGTATTTGACATTTGCTTTTGTATAGTCAGTAGTTATTTTTTCTTTTTTTTTCCCTAAAGTGATTTTATTGTTGATTTTCAAGGTCTAGAGTTCATGTCTGAAAGTTTTCTTGGTGACTGTTTCTGTTTTGTCTTTTAGATTGATGTGATTGTGGCTTTGGGCGGACTTGGAGGACGCTTTGACCAAACAATGGCATCAGTGGAAACGCTTTTTCATGCAACAAACATCACTCCTTTTCCAGTAATAGTGATCCAGGAGTGCTCGCTGATTTACCTGCTTCAACCTGTAAGTGTTTTGAAAAGTTACTTCATAATAAAACTGACCTTCCACCTACCCTGACCCTGTAGGTCTTGCACCATTAAATGCTCATTTTCTTAATTGTATTCTGTAGGGTCAGAGTCTAGATATAAAATACATTGCAGGGAAGTGGACAGCAAATGATGGGCTCTGCCTTCCTGCCGTGGAAAAGATTGTGCTTAATTTGTTCAGAATAGATTTGTTTAAAAGGGGAGGAACATAGAAATCCATAAGGTATGAAAACTGAATTTGGGTAAATAGAGGATTTTGATGATAAATTGAAAAAAAAAATTAAACTTTTTAATTAGATTCCAGTACGTTTAAATTTAGCGCACAGCCCTTTTGCATGTTGAGTAGCAATGAGGAAGTCTGCAGTAAGAGAAACAAAAGAAAGATCTAAGAGGAAGATATGAGGGAGTTCCTGACAAACACGTCAGGCAGAGCTCTTATGTGGTCTGAGTGGTGCAGTTCATTATGATGGGACTCCAGCTAGCATCAACGAGGGAATTTATTTAAGATGTGTTATTTTTGTGGTTTTTCAGGTCGTTATTCCATTTATTGATTCATAAAACAACACACACAAAAGATCTTGCTGGGCTTGTGCTTCTGAGATTTAAATTAAAGGCAGATCTAAGCATCAAAGAGTCTTCTAACAGTGATTCATTTATTTGTTTGGAAATATCTTTTCCTGATGTCAGGGTTTCTAGAAGCTTAACTAACTTTCCCATTTTATCTTGGAAAGCTTATTTCATTAAAATAAATAACATGCACAGATAAATTTGACAAAACCCAGCACCACACATGCTTCATTGTAATTCGAGAAAAGCATTAGTAAGGTTCTATGAGATTGTAGATTTAAATCCACAGGGGTAGATGCTGTATTAACAACTTTGAAGCACTGTGTCTGCAGGAAAGATAGTAGGCACAGGAGCTTATTTGCCAGTGTGACGAGGAATGACTGTGATCATTAGTTGCACAGCTAAATGGATAGAGGCAGCAGAGTGAGGGGGAAAGAGGGCTAAAGGATAACTAGATAAAATCTGAAAGTGAGGAGTAACTCGCTTGTGATTACCTGTGGGTGCAATACTTCACTGACCACTGTAAATTAATCTTAGGAAATTTTTAAGAACATATTGAAAAGCTGAAATAAGATGGAGAATTCCCAATTTAGCTTACAAAACACTTACTTGGACTGGAAGGACTTTTAGTTCTTTTCATTCATCTTTTCCATAAGTGGCTTTAAAATGCCATGCCTGAGGTTGTTTTCAGAAGAGTCTTCAATGAATAATTAAACCCTTTGCAACTTGAAAAAAAAAAATCATCATCTCTGCATTTCAATAGGCAGGAGAGGTCGCTAATTGTTTGGGCTTGCTGGAAACTTCTTTATGTTCTGGTTTTAATAATGCCGTATGAGAAGCATGTAATACTTTTTTGTTGGTGGAGAGAGTTCCATAGGGTATTTTTTTTTTTCTGCCGTTCCTGGCTGTCAGTCTGCATTGCCAGTACCTGACTTCTGTAACTTCAGGCTGTGTCTAGCGTTCAGAAATAAAGAGCAGATATAGGGGGCAGGCCATTTAAACAATCTTAATGCTAACTTTGACACAAAATTGCTTTTCATTGTTGGTTTAAACTTGTCACTGTCAGCATCTTCAGTCAACTGTCATGGTACGTCCAGATAGTAATATTAATCCTACATAGTTTAGATAAAAATCGAGTGAGTAGTTTATACACAGAAAGAAATGAGGATCCTAAGCTTGAAAGTACCCTTTTTTTTGTACAGAGTTCAGCATGATATTTTCTCTTGTAAACAGCCACAATCGTGGCATTCTCTCTTTTTTCCCCTCTCCCCTTTGTAATTTAAAATCAAGGTAGGAGGGAGTTGAACACAGTGGGAGACCCACTGACTTTTTGAAATGCAAGTCTGGAAACTGTGCAACAAATGAAGCAAGGTTTTGAGATTCAAATGCTAATGGAAATGATAAAGTTAATAGCATCATGCTTTTTCTATAAAATGTAGATCTGAAACCTTTCTCTCTTGGGGAAAAAGAATCTGATCTTTATTGGATTCTTTGGATAAAATATATGAGCAAAATATAACCATATTTTTGCTTCAAAATAACATTAGCTCTCCACTCACTATAGGCGGAGACTAGTATTGGTTCTCTATCGTGTGTACCTAGGCAGAGGCTAAAATCTTTGGATAGAGCAGAGAAACTGGTAAACCCGTAAACAGCCCTAGGAAGGATACAAAGGGGAATAACAAGTCAAGCTGCTGAATTTTTAGTTAGTAATGCAGAAACTAAGAGGAGGACTGTGTGAGCAGATCTGTAAGTACACCATAAAATCTATTAAGTAATTGCTTTGAAAGAGTTATTTCACATTATTACAATGTTGATATAGAGGGGTACAGCAGAAGAAATATATCAATATTTAACACACTTGTAAAGGTCCACAGTGTTGTAGGAAACAGGCTTATAGACTTGCTAGAAGTCTTCAAGGTGACAGAGGAAGACAGCGAGGACAATGCCCAATTTGGAATCCACTGCAGACTACCAAGCAAGGAGGACCAAGTAAACAAAGCCTTTTTTCATGAGTCAATAAAATTATCCAAGTACTGACTGTAAGGATAATTGGCATTTTGAGTACTGAGGCCTCTCTTGGGAAATAGATGGACAGACAGTGCAAGTTTTTGAAATATATTGGGAAAAATGTTTTGGCATGGAAAGTGAAGAAAACTGCAAGGAAGTAAACTCTTTTATAGTAATTTCTGACCTGTAAGGATGAACTATGTTGAGAGGTGGAGAAGAAAAAAAAGATGGGAAGAATTACACCCCATAAATGTCTGTCTCCATGGACTCTATGGAGAAATTGGGTGGTAGGCTGAGATCTAGGTATACGCTGTAGGTATCTAAATTTAGATAAATGAATTCCAATATAGGTCTAATTACTAAACAGGTACTTAGGAAAAGAAAGCAGGCATGAAATTAGGTGCACCTATGGAAGGGCCCAAGCAATGAGAACATAGTCTGTAACTACAGACGTTGCTCTCAGATTTTCTCTCATCTGAGTGGGAAAGGCAAACTGATAACAAACAGCCTAAATTTAATGCATCTTTTGCTCAGTCTTCACTAAAGCAAAATATTCCTTTGAGCAGATAACCAACACAGTTAATATCAGTGCCAAAGTCTGAAGACTTTAAATTTCCTCAGAGAAAAAGCAAATAAGAGATCGAGGTGCCTTTGATTTTTGCCAGCTCCAAGGGTTGTTAGTTTTTGTGTGCCATGCAACACTAATTAGGATAGGAGTCAGAAACAGGGAGACTTGTGTAAGAATTCCAGGAGGTAATGCTTGCTCTGGAGCATTTTCTAATGTGATGATTGGAATTTTAAAAAGAAAAAAGAAGAAAAAAAAAAAGAAAGAAAAAGTATCTCTGCACTGAATAGTCATCGTATTTCTTTCTGAAGTGGGGGGGAGGGAGGAAAGCCTGAATTGTTAATAAGGAGTAATCACTCTTTATAAGCAGGATATTTTATGCAGCAGTCCGTACATTTTATGCTTGAAATTTTGGTAATATCAATTACCATTAGACTATAGCCTGGCTGAAGAGCATTAGGCCCTTAGAGTCATGTTTATCATGCTACCCATGCTGAGTATGAATGGCTTAAGGTTTCACATACATACTTTCTCATTTTCTGTTAGTGTGCTTCTCAGGAGTACAGAAACATTAGCTTCTGTACACTGAGCATAAATTATCTTTTATCTGTGAGTTTTATGGCAGTCTGTAATACAAGGTAATAGGATTTATGACCAGGAAATGAGAAGATGTCCAAGAGTTAATGAGGCCTGTCTTTTACATTATACTGAGCAGTTCAGTGTTCCCCACACAGGATTCCAGCCCTGGCATGTAGGGGAGAAGAATTGCTACCTATACATGAAAATGTGTTATAGCAGCATATTTTTGTTTG